CACTGTCTTACGTCAAGAGCACGTCGAATCTGTACGGAAGACACCCTAGACGCGGAGTTAATGTTCATACAGAACACTCTACGTGAAAACGGTTATCCCGATAGATTTATCCTAAGGAACCTCCAAGAAAAACGGAAACCAGTGGCAGTGTTAACAGCGCCAAAGAAAGAGTTATTTATTCGCTTACCATTCAAAGGGGACGCGGCTACCGAGCGTCTAACCAGAAGCCTTTCGGCCGCGGTAAAGTCGACCTTTCCAGCAGCCTCGTTGAAGTGCGTGTTCTCAACGGAACCACTCATTCGTTCACAAAACAAGGACAAGCTGCCGATGCTGACCACATCAATGGTGATTTATCAATTCGTGTGCGCCTGTGGCGCGACGTATATTGGTCGAACGGCGCGGCAGTTATTGAAACGCGTGAACGAACATTGCCCTCGCTGGCTTCGTCAAGGGGGCATCGGAACCATTAGTAGCGCCATTCTGGCCCACATTGTGGACACCGGCCATGAAGTGGATTGGAAACGCGCTTTCCGAATAGTTTACAAGGTTCCACCGCACCGAACGAAAGGTTACCGCCTTCGTATGCTTGCGACAGCTGAAGCAATGTGCATTCGATTGTTCCAGCCGTCCTTATGCTCACAGAAGAAGCTGGTCCAGGCTCTCCAGCTTCCCTGGCCAGCGAAGATGGAAGACGCCCAGGTCGACTGCCTTCGGTCAGACGCGGTAGCGAACATCTAGCCCTCTAAGACCTAATTCGTTTTTTCCACTCTGACATTGACCTTCACGTGATCAATTCGTTTTGAACTAACTGGGTCGATTTCTCTTTCTAACCTCTATATGATTGTAATGGTCTGACGATGAATCATTGAAAGCAATTGCTCACCAGATGGTCTTTTGTTCTAGAGACTTAAATGGGAATTTTCAAGTTACGAATAAGATAGCTTGCTTTCCGTGGCACAGTCTTTGGAATGATTGCACTGACTGACCTTGGTTGCTCAAATCTGAGGATAAAGTAACAGTAAAATCCATCGGCATCTAGATCACCTTCAAAGGGCCCTCGGACTGTTCAATCCATTAATCTTCTCTGCAAGGCTCAATACCTACCTTAGCATTTGTGTGCAATAAGCCAATTAGATCTGGTTACCCCCGTGAAAGTAATATCGCACACTGTCCGAAACGTAATCGGGAATAAGGGCCAAATATCTTTAGGGCTCGTTTTATTGCCCTTACTGCCTCTGAGAATGACCTCGTATTTGCTTGTCAGATTCTCTAGCACACTAACCACACATTCCATAGTCTACTGAAGTTCCGACACAAACATCTACCTGAGGAGTCACCAGTTGATGTCGGACAAGCGGTACAGCTGGCTGCAATATCTCTGAAGCATTTTTTCTTTTGGGTTAGTCAATCGTGAAGCACCCTTCCGACCGCTGCAACCAACGATGTTATGTCACCTGTGTTCAAAAACTAGTTGTTGATGTATGACTTCACCCATATACATTGAGCTAACACCAGTTCTTTGGGTCACCGCATAATGTTAACGAACTGTGCGCAAATGCGACCCTTACAGCAAGGCAATGGTTGCAGTCTTTGCGCTCGCAATACTTGCTAAGACCTGCTAATCCAAAATAAATCCGTTACTTCATGGCTCCACTGTGGAAAAGATGCGAAATGTTAGTAGACGATGGCGGTTCGACGCTTTCTAACGGCACATTCAATGTGATCATCAAAAACCTGGATGGAATTCATCTTCTTTAGTTGGTATTACGAATGTTTTTATTTAGCGTCCATTCTAAGTGGACCGTTTCAAGTAGCGAGGAGGAAAATGTGAATCAGTGTTTATGTGAATAGCATAATGAGTCCCCTAAAACCCGCAGTTTCCTCTTTTTCCTGCTAGCGTTTCCCTTGGGTTTTATAATCATAACTCCGGTCGTTCAACAGGAGTCGTCAGCCACCCGTTATATACCACCGTTCAGTGTTCAGCATCCGGTTTATGAGTCGACAAAGCGTAGTAGTAAACGCTACTACACCAAACCTGAAGCGGAAATTTGAACAATACAACTGAAAAACGAGCATTAACAGGTGGTATTTTCTGTGTAATCAGATAGCTTGATAAATGGCGACGTATATGGTTCAGGTGAAAAAGTTTCCGCTATGTCAGAAAGAAGAGGAAACATGCTCAAAAAACAACAGATGTTTACGCTAGGGCAAAGACAGGAACACCTAGGATGCTTTAGTGCCGTTGTCAACTGCTTCTGTGCACAACGAATGCGACGGCGGCGATGAAGAGTCACGACCACAACAAATTAACACTTGTTTTCAATAATTACTCTTCATGCTTGTACAATTCTACATGGGGAAAAAAACAAATATTTGACACAACGTAAAGCTTGGTCAGACACACAGTTCACAGTCACTGATCAAGCACAATCACTATCCGTTAGTTCACAAATGTGGTGCACACTCCATTTTATGAGCCGGATGTCGCAGTTCGGATGGGCCAAGGCAGTTTTAACGTCTGAACGAGTCCTTTCTGAACACAACTCCGGCTTGTACAGTCGAATCGTGATGGCCTCCGCGGATTCAAGCAAACGCTTACGAACTCACTTTGATCGATTATCTGGTACATGATAGATCAATTTGAATGACTCAGCCAATTTGGTGACGTGGCCAGTGTCGGCGAGATGCTTGACTAATAATGAGTTGGTTTGTTTTCGAGAAGCGGTCATGAGGCAAGCCGGATGGTGTTCTTTAACTCTTTCAGACAGGCGCCTCGTCGTTCAGCCGAGGTAACCTGCCCCACAAAAACAGAAGAAAGAATAAATACACAGTGATTTGGCGTGGACGGGCCTCTTGTCTTTGGGGTTCGTTTTAACCATTAGGTTAACGGCGAACTGGATTTGCCTTTTAGCTGCTGGGAAAGTGTGTCCTCCGGTACGTCGATGATGTCTTTGTCTCCACTTCTTTCGAACAATCCAAGATCTTACCAATGAATGCAATCAGGCGCACGACGCGATGAAGTTCACCTCCGAAGTAGAGATAAATGGTACTTTTCACTTCCTCGGCATGGCAAGGAAGCGACCCGAGAGTGGCATGTTGCGAAGTCACAAGTATAAGAAACACACATGGAATGGCCGATACTTGAATGTCCACAGTTTCGTACCACTGAAATTAAGACGGAACTTGATCCTTAGTCAAATGAGTCCAGCAGAAAGAATTTGCTCGAACTAAACGTTTCCTGAACAACTGAAGCGCATACGTTCGACACTGAGAGAAAACAGTTACCCTGCAATTCTCCTGAAAGCCAGCATGGGACAAAGGAAGAAGGATCCCGTAAACTTTACAGTCCAGAGCAAACCTATATTTCAATTCATAAATAATCCCCATTTGAGTCAGAAGTAAGCGAGTGCGCGAAGAATATTCTTTTCGATAATTCTCATCAGGCGAGTACAATTGTGAAGCAAAACGTTTGGAGAGAATAAAGCCCGTAGAGGCCTGTACAGAGAGCAATCAACTCATTAACTAGGCAATATGAAAACTAAATCAACGGTTTGATCAATCGGATTGTCGCATTAGGAAGCAGGTGATCAAGGAGGTCAAGTTCAAGGCCAAGGCAATTTCAGAGCCTGTAGCAGTGTGCGCTGTTTGCACAGCTCTGGTTTTAGAACTTTGATAGCAATAGCTTCAGAAATGCTCAATAAAAGTTTCTTCAGCTGTTTGGGTATCGTTTAGGGATGGTATAAACGACTCGAAACGACTGGTTTATCTGGACTTGGTGTCCAGTGTCGACCAAGTGTTGTAATACCGAAATGTTGATGGATTTTACTGTGCCATTTCGTAGTGACGCAGGACAATGCTCAGCGATTCTTTTGGACAAACACCTGGTCGTATGTCCAAGATACCTAGCACCACAGGTGCAGGTGGACTGGTATAAGACAAACGATTCGGACCGAACAGGGAGTTTATCCTTTAGCGCTGAAGAATCAATTGGTCTTGTTTCGGCAAGTAGTTTTAGGTTGGCGGCTGGAAATGTCTTGGTCACTGCGGTCGAGATTTTCTATTCAACAGTTCGAAGGCGACGTCACCTTTAAAGGGAACTGTAAGGAATACATCCTTTTTGGGAACTGTAGCGAC